GGCTCTCTGATTCTAGCTGCTATCCATTACTCCACCGTGCCTCTTCAACTTATATATATATATATATATATATATATATATATATATATATATATATATATATTATGAATATCCGATCATTATTTGAAACATAGATATATATATATATATATATATATATATATATATATATATATATATGCCTGTTTGATATTTCAATTAGTCGGTACCAGGTGGCAGTATCTTTGTTATGCCAATGGTGAACCATTTCAGGATATTTACAAAGCTGACTAAACTAGTTATATAATAAAAATCGAATCAGCGTCGCATTGCTGATGAAATTAGATTTGTTCTAATCAATATTTAAGCTCAATCTGTTTCATGTTTCTTTGTTTCCACTTACACAATTCCAGAAAAGATAAGAAAAACTAAATTAATAAAAACAAAAATGCGAATGACACGTATACACACATCTGCCTTAGCCTGTTTCTATTTGTTTCCACTCCACGTCCCCACCCTTTCGCAGAGACGCAAATTCGCAATCCTCTCGTTCTGTGACTGTTCAGATGAACTCTATTTGGTAGTTCCATTAGTTCAGACCATTAGAGCTAGAATGCACGATGCCACATCCACGGCGTCAATTCACACCCATTTCCCCCGTATTCTAGTTGTATGGAGAAAGTTCCCTACTGACAGTCTTTTTCCCCGAAGTAATATCACCTTGTGAGACAGACTATCGCATGTTTACTTCTCTGAACACAATAACATTACACTATATTATTAACTTCTTCAAATCATGAGTCAGTTTTATCTATCCTTCTTATCCTCATAATCTTCAACTCCTACAACTTCCTCTTTTGTCCATGCCACACATCTTATTCATTATAACCATTTTTAAACTGTTCACCCCAAGCAAGGCGATAACGCCACTAAGACACATTTAATTGTGAAGAAAACGTAATTTCCAATAATAGTATAAATTTCAGGGATTAGATGAAGACATTAGAAGTATAATTTAGAAGGAATTGGAAGCCTTATCCTAAACAGGAAACAAGGGATAAACATCTACTCCTGTTCAAAAGATCGGAATGGAGTGTGAATGGAACGAATTTTAATGTCTTAATAACGATAGTATCTGTCTATATTTCTGAGATGAGGTATTATGTACACTATTTACATTGCTCGGAATATCATCCTCATCTTTGTTGCCATATTTATCACAACGTTTCGGCTGTTGTACGCTCCGGCCTCAAGGACACATGGTACAGTGGATAAAGGCGTTAGGTAGATCCATGGACAGGACCCAAAGCGTATGAGTTCAATACCTAGTTAAGTCGGTGGAGAACTTGTAGAGGGGAATTAACAGGGATAACTGACATCCATTAGACGTGGCACGTGGAACTAGAACAGTTTAACCCAGCGTGCGAAATAAAGGGTTCAGTTCGACATTCCAACCTCCTGAAGAAGGCCGGAGCGTACAACGGCCGAAACGTTGAGATAAATATGGCAACAAAGATGAGGTTGATAGTCCGAGCAATGTAAATAGTGTACATAATAACGACATGGAAAATATGCTATGTAAGGGGTTTCGTTCTTCAAAAGGACTACTTTAGACAAAATAATTTTTCTTATTGATAGAATACACTATTTGTAGTAGGGTAGAGAAAAAGATATAGACCAATTTTGGTTAAAGTTAAGCATCAAGACAAAGATCAATGATGCCGCCACGCTTAACGTTAAATTTTAAATTTACGGCGCCCGATGTGTATAGCTACACAGCCTCACCAACATCTTTCAGCTTCTAACCACTTTTAGTTTCCGATGTTTAATTGTAAACTTTTATTTATACACCGCACAGACACAGAGAGAGACGCAGACATACATAGAGCTATATATATATACACACACACACACACATATATATATATATATATATATATATATATATATGTATGTATGTATGTATGTGTACGTGTATATATATATATATATATATATATATATATATATATATATATATATATATATATATTATTTACTATAATTTTTCCGTATAGACAAAAACATTTACTCACTACAAAGATGCAACTCGTTTCGGTGCATTTCAATTGCACCTCGACTGGTGAGAACCAAAATTAATTATGAACACTTCTGCTTATAAGCAAAAATTATTGATCTACTATCAGTATCGAACCCTCTTTTGGATTAATGCTGTGAACGTTAGAATTTATTTTTTCGTTCTAATTGCATCAGATATATATATATATATATATATATATATATATATATATATATATATATATATATTCCTTTTATTGACAACCATAGTTTGTCTTTTTAAAATTCATGTGCATTCCTATGTGTGATAAAATGCTGTAGAAGAACTAATTATCCCTAGATCTTATGGCTACATTGCGTTAAAAAATATATATTAGAGTGTGCAACTTTTATATTATAAAGAAGAACTTTTTACAAAAACTTAATTAGCAATGTTAATAAGATTAACAGCGAAATCACCTCGCTAACAAGACGCAATGAGACATTAACTTAGTATCACTAACTATAGATGGAACCCTAACAGGTGCTACCACTCCGGGTGGACCTGGAAACACTGCTCAAAACCTCCTGATCAGAGGCCTCGCTGTTGAACGTAGTTTATTGTCTTACTCAGGACGCGGATGTAGTTTATCGTCATACCCAGGACGATCTATATCAGGTAAATAATAGACACCGGATGATGGCTAGAGTGTACTTGGTCGAAACTTTTTATCTCGAATGAGAAGGTATACTCAGCTAAAACTGTACTTTTAATATATTCAAAAGCGTTTAACGCAGACATAGAGAGCTTGATAAAACATGAAAAAGGTACTAATTTTACGTCCGTAGGTCAAATTATGCCATTCAAAATTCCTCTCATATGGTATTGTGACAGAGGATACAAGTTATACATTGGAGATATCAACAGGAATCAGGTGCAGAAGTTTAAATATCTGGGAAAAGATTTTAAACCGAGGTTAGAAAAATGCGGCACCGAGATCCGAACAAGCATAGGATTGGAGCAACAAGCATACCATGGTGCTGGCAAACGGAAAAGAAGAGATTGGGATATGTGATAGCCATCCTCTTATATGTCAGTGAATGTGGGACAATCTCCCCCGGATGAGTAGAAAACTTGAGTAAAAAAATTTCACAGTTCTAGCATTATTCCTTTATAATCAGTCTATGTACTTTTCAGCCCACCCACATATACTATTAATATTTAACAGCCCTCCCACGAGGGATGTATGTGGCACAAGGCCGAGTTTACTGTGGGTTCTCCGAGCCCGTAGGCTCTGCCAAAAATATTCCTTTAGAAACCGTATAAACGGGTTCAGGGTCTGTCTCTACGAAACTTTGCCTCTCGCATATACTGTTTAAGTTATTACGCAGTGTCTTGCAATGCAAAATAACCTAACATGATATAATTCAAGGATTATTCCGTTTCTTCGACGATACATGAAAACAAAAATATTGTGAGAAATTTAGAACAAATTCTAATAAATTCTTTCTATTCACTCGCCAATTTTGATTGTATGAATTGAATAGATTGGACAAAGCAACTAAATATTAAATTTTGGCTGAAGACCAGTTATAAAATAAGCTCCTTTCAAATACCGCTTTATCAATATATTCATGCGAAACGTTTCTTTCGGCAATGCATTGTTATGTTTGTGAATCGGCAAGCGAATAATCAAGTTTTTCAACGCCGACTGCAACTAAAAAAATATTGTTGGCAGCAAACAACACCTTTTTTTTTCTCCATTTCTCGCTCTGACAGTCTTGTCTGTCTTTGAGGGTTTACGCATGCGCGTGTTCAAATTGCTTTTATTTGTTCTTTCATATTTTTATCTTGTATATTGTTTCGACTTGCGTAATTTGTTTTCCGTTGACCGAGTTTTTTTTGTTTACGTTAAACCATTTTACACGTTTTCTTCTGTCATTTAATCAACTTTCTAACTCCTCCAGCAAAAACGCAGTTTCAAAATTCTAAACTCCTATTGCTTCTTATTAATGTAATATTGACAGGCTATATGACAGAAAATGTTCAGTTGTAGGATTCGGATCGCTTCAAGATATTTGTGACTCAAGATTCATATCTCATAATTTTAATTAATTTCTATTCGATGAAGAAACATGAAGTTAACTATCCTCGTCTCTTTCAATGTTATTTTCAATCTTATAGCGAAAGAGGCCTTCCAGAAAGTAAGCAAAGTATTTCGTTAGAAACAAAGAAAAAAGAACTGTTACATAATATCAGTCCTCCCGTATGGCAGCGAATGAAGAAGAGAATTGAAGCAACTGAAATGTGGGCCTACAGAAGGATGCTGAGAATACCATGAATACCATGTCTGTTCCACAAATCAGCGGTAAGATCTGACCAATGGAATACGAAGGGATGGTGGCCCGCTAGAATCTACCTAAGATCACAGGTTTTAGCTGGTGAAACTAAGGAATGTAGTTCATCTGAACACTTGTCATGGAAAGAGCGATTTAGTAACGAGAGCCATACAACGCTTCGTATGAGGAAAATGGGATTGTAAGATGAAAAATAATTCATCACTCACAAGGACGCGACAACTAGTTTGGATTTTATCGATACTGGAAAGTGAAGATTGGCCAGCTCCTACTTATATATGGCACCAATACTTCTTTTTCAGCCTAATCTGGCTCTTGTAATGGTAGGTGAGAGCAGGTCGAGTCAGGTACTTACTGGAACGGTACAGGGAACCAACCATTAGCGATGGATCGAATGTACGAGTTCCATTTGTGGTCTGAATTGAGTTCAAAATATATAAAATAGGCGGTCATGTCATGGGATCTCCCTGAAAGAACACCCGTTCATCGCAAAAGAGAATTACCGTCCGTTATGGGATGATGGAACGTCAAGAGTTTGGTTTTTGAGACATTGCATGTGACTAGCCAGTTTTTCAACCTTTTCGGAAAAATCCATTAACTTGTTCCTCTTTTTATTCTACTTTGAGTTTTTGTTTCTTTTCCTTTTTATCCTTCATATTTTTCATTTTCTTTTTTTGACTTCTTTTTGGTCCTTTCTTTTTCTTTTTTTTTTTTTTTTTTTTTGTTGTCTTGTTTTTATCATTTTTCAGCGTTTTCATTTTTTTCATTTTCTTCTTTTCTTTTCCTCTTTTTTCTTGTTTTTTTTTCTTGTTTTTTTTCTTATTTCTTTTTCTTTTTTCTTCTTTTCGTTCTTTCTTTTAATTCTTCTCTTTCTTCTCTTCATCGTTGTGTTTTATTTCTTTGCACTTTTCGTTTTTATTATTTCTCAGTATTCCTTCCTACTTCATATTTTTTCTTTCTTTTTTCGTTCTTTCTTCTTGCTTCGACAATCTTCTTTCTGTCTTTTTTTCTTTCTTTTTTCTTTCTTTCATTCTTTCGTTCGTTCATTCGTCGATTCGTTCTTTGTATCTCCTTCTTCTTGATCAGGTAGTTTTCTTTCTTTCTTTTCTTTTTCTACTCCTTCTTGATCTGAACTGTTTCTTTTTTTCGTACATTTTTTCATCCAGGTATTTTCTTATTATAATTATCTTTCTTTCTTTCTTTCTTTCTTTCTTTCTTTTTGGTCCTAGAATCTTCTTTCTTTCTTTCGATCGTTTGTTCGGGCGTTCTATGTATCTTCTTGATCAGATAATTTTCTTTTTTTTTTTCTTTTTTTTGACTACTTCGTCTTGATTAGAACATTTTCTTTCTTTCTTTTTTCTTTCTTTCTTTCTTTCTTAGTTTATTTCTGTTTCTTTCTTACATCCCATCTATCTATCTATCTATCTCTCTTTCTTTCTTTATTCGCCACACCCTTCTTTGAGCCAATCAGAACATTAACCACAATCCCTTAACCGACAACAATTTATTCACAATTAATTTGTCAATACTTAATGCCTCCTCGACACTGTTTCACTCCACTTCTTTAAATCGATTTACACTTGTCCCTTTCTCCCCGTTAATGCCGATCATGAATCAAACAATTATTTCGCCTTTTTTGTCCAATCGTCTAATCAATTGAATCAGTCGCAGCCGTAAGTAAATTCTCTTAAAATGCCCCAAACTCAAATGCTTCCTTCTTTTTGTTTTTTACACTTTTCGTATATCCATCGATAATGGGTATTATTTGATACGAGACATTTGCTTAACTCGTGGTATTAAAGGTGAACGTTTCCCATGATATAATAGAATGTCGAGGTGTTAGGCCGATTAATTTCCTCAATATGACATCTCTCAGAGCAATAGTGATTACTTGCCGGCCGTCCTATCCGCTTCAAGTCGTATACATGTTACATTGGATGTCATGGTAACGGCGGTATGGAACGACACTTGACCTAACGTGTTATGTGATAAACAAAGATGTCAAAATTTCATTCGTTCACATCGGTTCGCCTATCGTTCGGTTAAATCTAGCCGTTTTTGTTTTTTTTTTATACCTTGTTTCCTGTTTTAGTTTGGACTTCCGATTCCTTATAAAGTCTGTTCATTCGCTTATCTTTTCCCACAGCAATCTTGACTTATCTTTCATGCACAGCTCCAAGGACTTCATTTCTTGTCCTTTCTTACGCCCATACGACATTACTCAGTAACACTCTACCTAGAGTGGCTCTTAATATATTTTTTGAATTGTTTCTTTTCCATAGACGAGCCTTCGAATTCTCTCTTACTGGGATTCTTCCATTGTTTGATTTGGTCATTTGTTTTTTTCTATTCTATTAACGTGTTGATGTTGCCGTCCTGACTATATTGTATAATGTTGAATTGACAAACATGGCCCTTCGAGACCGTAAAAAGATGATGTGTCAGAAGGACGGATCTTCCCTTTACACCACTATTATTTGGACTAACTTCATTCCATTTACAGTTTTAAAACGCGATTATTAGAATTGTAATAAAATCTAAATACAAAAGACAGGAAATTGTGGTGAGCCATAATCGTTAAATTCATGAAGGGAAATTTGCATATAGAAGAATAAGAGGTTGATATAATGGAATATGCGTACACCTGTGTTCTCCCTCACTCGAATATGATTGGCTGGAGTCCGTCATAAATACCGACGGACGTGTAGGAGAGTCAAAGAGTCTTAGTCTGAGAGCTAAGTCTATAACGACGCCCATTGGACTACGCCATTGATATACACTTCTTACCTGCGACTACGACGCGTACCAGTCGATTACTGCTACCGTATTCTATTTGGTTATAGTAGCCAAAACCACTTAGCTACTTCGTTCAAATAGATCCCTTTTCGGCACATATCAGATAGATAGATAGATAGATAGATAGATAGATAGATAGATTGAACAGGATGCGATAGATAGATAGATAGATAGATAGATAGATAGATAGATAGATAGATAGATAGATAGCATGATTGAGATAGCATAGATAGATAGATAGATAGATAGATAGATAGATAGATAGATAGATAGTGATATAATGGAATATGCGTTCACCTGTGTTCCCCCTCAGTGGAATATGATTGACTTGGTGTCCGTCATAAATACCGACGGACGTGTAGGTACGAGAGGTCAAGAGCCTTAGTCTGAGAGCTAAGTCTATAACGACGCCCATTGGACTACGCCATTGATCTACACTTCTTACCTGCGACTCCGACGCGTACCAGTCGATTACTGCTACCATATTTTACTAGTTATAGTAGCCAAAACCACTTAGCTAATTCGTTCAAATAGATCCCTTTCCGGGACATATCAGAGGTCAACCTGACTAATCTTCAAGCAAAATAAACAAACATAATTAAATGTTTTAATAACAAGATACCACTGCTATTTACCTTCAGCTCCTTGATAAGATCCAAAGAAGAATCTGCGATATTATTAGTCCCGATCTGGCAGCTCAGCTCCAGTCACTTTCTCAGCTCAATAAGGTTGCCTCTCTATGTCTTTTCTATAAATAGTTTCATGGGAATAGTTCCAATGGGCTCTTCGCTAAGGTACTTAGAGTTTTTGAATTTAAGCGCAACACAAGACTGGCGTCGGGACCTCACCAGTTTACCGTTGAGCTTACTAGATGTAGCCGTATGTTCTATGCTAACACTTTCTTCTCGCACACTTCTCACTTATGCAACTCACTCCCGGCTCCATGTTTTCCAGCTAACTTTAATCTGCAAAAATGTATATGCAAAGTCAATCGCTATCTATTGTCCACCTGACTTCTCTATTCTCTTTCTGCTCATAATTGATGTTTCTTTTCCTAATTCTTCCACCCCCTGTAAGCCCTTCTGATTTAGTGGCATTACAGCCTTCCTTGGCGGATTCCGATTAATACATACATACATACATATATATATATATATGTGTGTGTGTGTGTGTGTGTGAAAAGACGGATTAATTCAGAGCAATTAATTCTTTCATTTATCTATTAATTCGTTCTGATATTCTTTTTTTCCCCTATGAAACTTGTATTCGGCATTGAATAACCCGACAAGAGTCTTTAAATTAACCCATAAACCATGACGCAAGCATTATAAAGAACTCTTTATATCATATAATTCATTAATAAAATAACAGTACTATAAACAAACAAAATTTCACTATGTCGGACGTGACAATTTTTCTCTCCAGAATCTATCTTACATATCTATAAATCTACTGTTCGTCCATGCTTAGAAGATTGTTGCCATATATGGTCCGCTTCCACTGCTATTTACCTTGAGCTCCTTGATAAGATCCAAAGAAGAATCTGCAATATTAATGGTCTTGATCTGGCAGCTCAGCTTCAGTCACTTTCCCACCGCCCGTAAGGCTACCTCTCTATGTATTTTCTATAAATACTTTCATGATAATTTTTCGAATGAGATGTCAGCTTTTTTTTTTAATTTTAGCGCAGCACTAATCTGGCGTCGAGATCTCATCAATTTGCAGTTGAGTTTGTTAGATGTAGCCGCAAATCCTATGCTAACAGCTTCTTATCTCGCACTGCTCTATGCTTTCAGGCCAACTTTAATCTACAAAAATGTAAATGCAATGTCAATCGCTATTTACTGTCCACCCGATTACCCTCTTCTCTTTCAGTTCATCATTGATGTTTCTGTTCCTAATTCTTCCTGTAATCCCTTGCGTTTTAGTTGCATTACTGCCTTGCTTGGGGTGATTCCGATTAAAAACAAAAACAAAACATGGTTAACCTCTCCTTTTCCTGATGTTTAATTGGTTTAATGTTTAATATTAGAATATAGTTTCGCCTATTATCCTGTTCACACTCCTCCCCTATTTTCTAGCAGTTGTAGAAGTTTATCTCTCATTTCCTGTTTAGGATTGGCTTTCAGATTCCTTCTCGAATTTTCTCATTAAATTTCACGCCCAGTAACCCATTGCACTTCGTGGTATTATCGCCTTTTTGTAGGTGAAATGATTAAACATAAATGTCTTTTTTACGGTTATTTGTGGGCCATTTAAAGCCGAAACAGATTTCGGATTGTAGGTGTCAGTTTATGCTGTAAGCTAGGGAAGGTTATTGAATAGAATAATCGAATGAAGGTTGGCAATGAGCGATAATATTTAGGACAAGAACAACACATATAAGATTCGTCCGTGGCGCGTAGAAGTAGTAGTCAACTGCTATATGTGAGTCAAGTGAATTCCACAATGAATCTCCAACTGTAGGATATCTACCAACCGCCCCACGCGGTCAGATGTGGCACAAGGCCGAATTTAATGTGGAGTATCCGAGCCCGTAGACTCGACCGAAAATTCCCCATAGACCCCGTATAAAACGGGGTCGGGTAGCTGTTTCCCGAGACGAGACGCTGCCCTTCGACATTGCCTCGTCTTAAGATTCTCTCTGCCCGGAGACAGAGAGTTTTACCAACACAGCGGAAGACGAATCTCCAACTGCAGGATATCTCCCAATTGCCCCACGCGGTCATATGTGGCACAAGCCCGAATTTAATGTGGAGTCGGGTAGCTGTTTCCCGAGACGAGACTCTGTCCTTTGACATAGCCTCATCTGGGGATTCTCTCTGTCCGGATGCAGACAGTTTGACCAGCAGAGCTGGATACGAATCTCCGACTGAAGACCAATATACAATATATACGACTGGATTTATGTGGCATATACATTGACGTGCGTAGGTATGCTACAACACCAGGTCTTCCTCAGGGGTCCCCTATCTCACTCGATAGTGCTTAACTTCAGTGATCGAACGAGAATTATTCTGAAGTGAATGGAAAATCGGTTTTCAAAAGAGATCAATAAAAAGAAAACAAGAAAAAGACGCTTCGATCTTTAACACTAAACTGATAGTTTTTTCTTCGATTTTCAACATGTTTTTTATGCATAAAATAAGTCATCTTGTTGCTATGGCGATGTACATTAATTACTCTTATTAATTATCCAAGTTGAATAAGAACTAATTTCTAATTTGATGTTGACTTGAAATCAATAATTGAGAAATGAATTCTCCACCGAGATTTTGTTCTTCCTTTTGATGACACAATGTCCAAACAGAAAACAATCTGAGGTTGTCTGAACGGATCTAATTATTTGTTGACTCAGTTTGGGTTTTATGCGGTTATTTGTCAACAAATAGCAAGCGAGAAGCTGTTAAAGAAAAAGGAACTAAAGAAAGAAAGAAAGAATGAAAGAAAGAAAGAAAGAAACAAACAAACAAAAAAACAAACAAAACAAGCACAAAAAAGAGACAAGTAAGGAAAAGAGGCAAAAGAAAGAAAGAAAGAAAGAAAGAAAATAAAAAGGAAACCAGTTGACAGACAAGAAACAGAGACGAAATAAAGAAAGAACTGAAATGAAAGAAAAAAAGCCGCGAAGATAGAAAGAAGAAAAAGAAAGAAAGAAAAAAGAACAGAAAAGAAAGAAAGAAAGAAAGAAAGAAAG